ATTTGTGACCACTTTCTGGTCCAATGGCCACAACTCACTCATCGCTACAATAGAGCCAAATATATCGGACTTTTGGTTTAATTCATATTCAAATCATTTGAATGTTCAAAACAATCAAAATTATATTTATTTCAAAGAAATTTTGTGCAAACTTTACATAATTTATATAATATTTGAAAAATAAACGTCAAAATCGTTTTTAAATTTGAGTTCATTAACATTTAAGTAATAAAATAAACACAACTATTAATTTATATATTTATAGTACTATTGCATATATGGCACCAAACCGTCCATTATATGAATAAATATAATTTAGGCAAAATCTATGGTTTATATGACTTAACAAATTGTTTAACACTTTTAATATAATTGATACCGGTCATAATATATTAAATAAAATATTTTCAACTTATATAATAGCTTAAAGTATACAGAAATTATAAACTAAATCAATGTGTGATTTACTTTTAGTGATTACAAATAATAGTGAAAGTATTATGATACCGGTCATAATATATTAAATAAAATATTTTCAACTTATATAATAGCTTAAAGTATACAGAAATTATAAACTAAATCAATGTGTGATTTACTTTTAGTGATTACAAATAATAGTGAAAGTATTAGAGAAAACAAACATAGAGTGAATCAATTCAATGAACAATCTATTAAATCATCAGAATATCAGATCACAAATTCTTAATAGACTAAAAATTGTCATTAATTTTTTATATTTACGGTATAATACATTAAAGAACTGATTGTGGGATATAGTTGAGGACTTAACACATTTGAAAACTCGTATTTAATAGTACGGTAATAATACTGAATTATACAGTATAATCAAAAGAAAGGGAAAATATACCGTTTATCGACACTTATTTACAATAAATTTGATTAAAACATAAACTCTATCTATATTTTATTATACGTATATACGAGCAAAAAAATATTGAAGACATTGGACTCGAATATAGATTTGCACTTTTTTTTATAAATTATCGTATTATAGTGATTAAGACTTTGATAGACTCTCACAACTTATATAATATATGCTATAATTTGCAATCATTTCCCTCAATATTTACTTAAATTCCAAACAACAAATCTTATTAATTTTTATAAATTATCGTATTATAGTGATTAAGACTTTGATAGACTCTCACAACTTATATAATATATGCTATAATTTGCAATCATTTCCCTCAATATTTACTTAAATTCCAAACAACAAATCTTATTATAAGTTATATTGTATAACAATAATATTAATATATAAACTATACGTAACTAAATATTAATTACTTTTCGATAATATTTTCGATTAAATAAAATTTGAAAATCAAAGCAAACCAATGGTTATAATCGGATAGAGTTAAGGGTCGAAACAAAAGGGTGTTTGTGTCCCACTATTTCTGCATTTGAAACATAATTAGTCGAAAGTTGATGGCCTGACGACAAATACATGAATCAATCAGTATTTGGTAGAAAACAGTTTGCAATAATGTTTGTCATACCTTTGCGGCTAATAATTTGTTGCATTCATGCGAGTCATGCAATGATATTACTTGAAACGGGCTTTCATTACTAGATTCGTTGAACTCGTGTTTATAGAGTCGGGGATGAAGTTTCATATCACCGAATGGACCCTTAAATACAACACTCAGTTAGTCATAGAGTATATGATTTAGAAATGAGCGATACTTTAAGAATGACGTAATGAATGGCCATAGGAGTGGTGAGTTTGCTTTTGAGCACAATTTGATAGCTAAGTTGGCGTTCGCATGACTGGGTCGGGTCCCTCTGGTCTTCGTTCACTCGGGCCTTCACTACCCATTGGGTGTTAAACGCCGTGAATCGCGAGGTCTCGTAATATAGTTTATGAATGTATTCATCGGTTCGGTACGGCTTTAACTGCAAGTCATTGAAAGTAATCTTTTCGAAAGACAATAAGTCAAAGATAGAGTCGTATAACTTCTTCTCCTCAATCGTCTCTTTATCCAAACCGATCAATACATCCAGAACTTCGCGACCACTTTTGTTCGGGTGAATACATGTCTCCGCGTGAGGGCCTAAACATTAGTCACAAAACAAATTCTGCATATTTCTTATTACTGGTATAATATGTCATATGTATAATAGGTATGAATTTCATACTATGAAATGTCGTTCAAGTGTTTTACACATTCAATAAAAACCATTTATAGGATATTGAATGACCTTTGGTTTGAAAGCACTTTTAATTTAAATGTTTAATTGGTTTGTCACTGAAATAATGGGACAACCATTGATACTGTATAACACATGAAATGCATACCTGACTCGTGAAAGGGTCCACTCCAGGGACAGCCGATTCGTGCGAAAGTGCAGCGAACGATGCGTTCCTCGCAATAGTCGACCTGATGTTTGTCGAGGAGAACGCGCGGCAACTCTTTGCTGCAGAAGCGACAGAGTCCGGGCAATTCGCACACAGCCTTCTCTACGGCCAAATTCCTTGAGCACAGATCACGCGATATAACGCACCGACAGTTAGGACAGGTGGCCGTCTCGTCTCGCAAACGGGCTGAACACCACATAAACCAATAGTTCGTTACATTTATATAAAAGTCAATCGATTCATACCGTCCGCCAACAAGTGTGTGAAACATCCGGCGCACATCAGGTGCCCATTTGTACACTTTATTTGAATAAAACAAAACTATTAGTCTATCATTTGGGTTCAAATCGTCAATATTAAAATTCATTGTCTTATTAAACATTCAATAATTAGTCGATAAAACTTCCATTGAATGCAAACCATATTTGGGTTAAGGTTTTGAAGGACTTTTCAAACAATTAAAATAGTTTTCATTCTTCCGTAACAAAACAAATTTCAGGAATTTATGCTTTTGTCGACAATTATTATACAAAATAATACATAAACTTATTAATCGATTAATAGTTGCTTTATTCAAAGTATTTCGTTTTATACAAACTATAGTTTTAAACATAAATATACAGAAATTTGTGTTAAATTTCTTTAATAAATATTAAAAATGTAACATAATTTATAATATAATAAAGTTTACAGTGATTTAGGAGACAAGATATTACATTCAATTATTATGAACTCAATGCTTGACTGTAAGAGACATGTTTAATATATTGCAAAATCAATTCAATGAATGTTCATATTGTAAGCATTTTTATTCAAAACCGCAGCAAATGTTTATAAACAATCATTTTTATGATAACTATTCATATATTAATAAATTTAGTTTTCATAAAAATCAAAAATAGAGAAATCAGATTAGGGTTTGGAAATGAATAATAAATTATATGTTAGTATCATATCATATGTAAACAATTGAAATGTTTAAATGAATAAATTGAGCACAATTTGAGTGAATAAACTAAACGCTAGAATAGTATGAAATATTAAACACCAAAATGACTGAAATATAAGTTTATAAGGGATTATGAATTAGTGGTAAACTAATTGCATATATGGCTATAATGGGTGTACTGTATGTGTTAGTCATTGAATGAATGGTATGATAGGTATGGTATGAATGGTATGATATCTTAGGTATGATATGATTGATATGAATGGTTGACAAAGTGTGGACAATGAGGACATACCTGAAAGATGCCACTCTTGGGGAGGTCGAGACATACGGCACAGCATAGGATGCCTCCCAACCTGTGCTCCAACTTGTCTTTCATCACCAAATGCTTGTGTTTGTCGTCTGAATGGTCACCAATTGAGGCCTCAGTCTTGAGGCGCTTCTTCGGCGACTGCGACCCATATCTGTCGCTGTGATCACTGATGGCGTCACTCATCTCAGACACGATCTCTTCGGTGATCTCTTCGATCCTTTCCATGAGGTTTGCGGCAGTGGTCTGAGAGTTGATGGCATTAGTGGTGGGATTGGTGTCCATCACAACCACTGATGACTCCATTGCTTACAAACACAACAAACACTCAATCAATGCATAACTCTATCACTCAATGTATGACTCTATGTATGACTCTATCACTGAGTCTCAGTCAGTGTCTCCTCCGCCCAACACAACCCCCCAAACCCTCTCCCATTGCCACCCAATGCCTCTCCACAACACTCTCGCACTCAATGTTTTGGTTCACTCAATACAACAGCTGTTTTGATGCCATTTCCACATAAATAACGTGTCAATGGATTTCAGTGCTTGCGATCGGGTTTGTTGTGAAGTGAATGACAAATGCA